GAGAAGCTGGTCAGGCAAAGCTATGTCCTTATTTAGTATATGGGGTAGAGGCAAAGGCTAGGAATACACACACGCACACACACACGCATGCACGCACACAATTATTTTCAACCCCATCAGAAATGTGGGAGAGGAAGGGAACCTGAGCTTGAGGCGTCAAAAGTAATGATAGAAAAGAATTATGGAGGTGCCTGGGTGGCTCAGTCAGTTAAGCGTCTGCCTTTGGCTCAGGTCGTGATCCCAGGGTCCTGGGGTTGAGCCCTGTGTCGGGCTCCCTGCTCAGTGGGGAGTCTGCTTCTCCCTTTCCCTCTGCCTCTCCCCCCAGCCCTTGCTTGTGCTCTCTCTCACTCTCTCTCAAATAAATAAATAAAATCCTAAAAAAAAAAAAGAATGATGTGAGAGACTATGGACTCTGAGAAACAAACTGAGGGTTCTAGAGGGGAGGGGGGTGGGGGGACGGGTTAGCCCGGTGATGGGTATTAAGGAGGGCACGTACTGCATGGAGCACTGGGTGTTATATGCAAACAATGAATCATGGAACACTCCATCCAAAACGAATGATGGAATGTACAGTGATTAACATAACATAATAAAAAAAAAAAAGAATAATGGGTCGGAGAAGTGTTTCCAAAATAGAGCTATAACACTTGATGAGGAATGGAAAAGAAAAGAGGAAGCAGAGGAAAGGGACAGATATGGTTCTGAGGTCTTAAACATGAGACCGAGTAAAGGTCAGGGTATCGGACCTGTGGATGTGGTAGGGTGTGTAGGGAGTGGCAGGTTGGGAGGGCAAGGAGTGGGCGGTCGGGATTTGGTTTAGGCAGGTGTGCATGGATCACGAGTTGGCTTTTGGTCATCTTGCATCTAAAGTGATACTAGGACATCCAGATGGAAGTAATCAACAGGTGGTTAGGTATATGTGAAAGAGGTCAAGGGAGTAAAAGATGAAGTTTGAAAGGTGTCTCTATATAGGTGAGAGCTGTGGAGACAGACCTCAGTTTTCCTCCTAAAGATCCACATGGATGAAGAAAATGATTCTAGGACAGAGTACTAAGAGGAAGGATCCACCTAGAGTCTGCAGGAAGATGAAGCATTTACAAAAGAAACATGGGCAATAGTTTTCCAATCTAAAAGAGACCTTCAGAGAACTCAAGGGAAGAGTTGGTTTTAGGAAAATGGTGGGTGGATACAACCCCACTCACCCATTAAACTGTGTTTACAAGGGACTATTTAATGACAAGAGGAAAATTCTCATGATACATTTATTGAAAACTATTTAGAAAATTGTATGTAGCATCCCAGTTACACACACACACACGCACATGCACACGCCCATGGCGGGAGAGAGAGAGAGAAGGAGAAATTATAACAAAAAGTGTAGAGTGTTTATTTCCAGGTGGTGGGATTTCGGGTGATTTTTTTTTAAAGATTTTTATTTATTTATTGAGAGAGATAATGATAGAGAGAGAGAGCATGAGAGCGGGGAGAGTCAGAGGGAGAAGCAGACTCCCTGCTGAGCAGGGAGCCTGACGCGGGGCTCGATCCCGGGACTCCAGGATCATGACCTGAGCCGAAGGCAGTCGCTTAAACAACTGAGCCACCCAGGTGCCCTGATTTTGGGTGATCTTAATGAGAAAGAATGTCATTATTTAATCATAAATAAAAAGAAATTTTAAATTTTTATATCTGTATCTTTTACAATTTATATGATGAGTGTACTTTATTCTCATTATTAGAAGAAAAGTCATTTTATTGACATCAGTTAGAAGAAGAATAAATAATGTATAGGCTACATCATCTCAGTTAATGCCCATAAATATGGAATAGAATAAGCAGCATGGTCCCCTGTTTCCTGGTAAGGAAACTGACTCTGAAAGAGATGTAGGAACTTGTGTCAGTCACATAGTAAGTGATGGAGCTAAGATTCTAATCTGGTGTTTTTTAAGGCACAAGCTACATACACATATCCAGCTAAAATGTTATGTCAAATGAGGGGAAGAAGTTGGCTGTGCAAACGATACATTAAGAAAAGACGTGTGGGGGGCGCCTGGGTGGCTCACTCGGTTAAGCATCTGCCTTCAGTTCAGGTCATGATCTCAGAGTCCTGGGATTGAGCCCCAAGTCAGGCTCCCTGCTCAGGAGGGAGTCTGCCTGTACCTCTCCCTCTACCCCTTCCTCTGCTCATGTTCTCTCTCTCAAATAAATACATAAAATATTAAAAAAAAAAAAAGACATGTGGCAAGAAGGAAGGTGCCAATGGCTTGCAAGTGTAGAGTTTCCATGGGATAGCAAAAGTGAAAAGCAATTTTCTTTCTTGATGAGAGGGGACTGGTGGTGGGGAGATGAAGGCAGATTTAGGGCACTTGATAAGAAGTGTGACAGCTTACGAGTCAAGACAGCCCAGGCCAAGCTGGGGTAACAGACAGCCCATCATCTCACGGTGTAGAACAATAGAGGTTTATACCTTGCTTATATGATGTGGGCTGGCCTTGGGCTTCATTGTGGTCACTCTGAGACTCAGGCTGAAGGAGACATCATCTGAAACACACTTCACAAGGAAAAGGGAAGGTCGGGCTTAAGTACTAGCACTTAAATGCTTCTACCTGGAAATGACAATGATTTTATTGGCCAAAGCCTCACCCCTATTAGAAAAAATGTGGCCCTACCATGTGCCCCTAAGGAGGAGAACTGGAATATTGTGAACCACCCTAATGACCACCACAACAGGGAAAACATTTCTTGCTTTTTAACGCTCCTGCTTTGGTAGCAAAGGAAATAGTTTGCAGAACTCTAGGTGTTTAACACAGGAGGTATCGTGGGCATCACTAGGAAACTGAGACGCAAAGAATCAAGTCATCATTTGTACAAAGTCACAGAGAGAAACAGTGGCTGTGTGAAGACTAGAACTGTGTATCTGAGGCCAGTGACCCCAGTGGTCCTCAACGTACAATACTCACTGGCCTGGGGTATGTGAATTTGGAGGAATTGTAGTCTTGGCCTAGGAAACTATTGGAGACTCTGCTTGCTATGTGTTGAGAATAGCAGTCTCACCTCATATTAGGAGTTACTGATGCTGGAAGCCAGTGACATCTCCATCAGTAAAAACTCGGGACTGCATCTCTTAGGTGCCCAGGTTTCTCTATGTGGTTATTGCTGAAATGACCAAGGAAGACTGCAAGTCATTACTCTAAAGTATAATTGTTAAAGTTGGGTTAATATAAAACTAGCTGGGGCTGGCCCCAAGCAGTAAAGTGGCAGGTGAACTAAGCACTGGGAAACCCAGTTGAGTATCTCTGAGTCTGTAGATTACAGACAGATCAGCTTCAACTTAATGAGAGAGAGATTTAGCAGCTGAGAATCCTGGATAGTCTCCCTCTTCTCTGAGATCAATAGTGCATTTTGAATAGAGAGTGATTTATGAAAGGAAATGGGGTCATGAGGACACAGTCCATCTCATAGAGGGTTAGGCAAACTGAATCTGAGTTGGCACTTGGAATGACCATAATTTTGATCTTTTTTTACACTGCTATCAAAAATGCGGGGAGGGGGCAGGAAAAATATCTGTTTCAGGCTCACAAAGCATTGCTTTGTAGAAGGGCTGCTAGTCATATTTATAATATTCTATAAATTTATATAAGAAATAAATATTACAATTGCTTTTTAAATTTTGTGTATTTCTAAAGTTAAAGAATAAAACTATTCTACAATTAGGCAGGTGTGGTTCTGGGACTTTCATGGTTAACCCGCATATTCCTTGCTTTTTAAACTGTTTTTGGTTTTGGCTTTGATTTACATTATATGGTCATCAAATTCCTCTTTTTATCAGGGAAAATTGGAGGGTTTTCTGAATCTTAAAAGCATGTAATTTACCTTGGATGTGAACTATAATGCTTATTCTGAAAAAATTCCATGTAAAACTGAAGAAATTGTGTAGAGTCTTTATGAATTGGAACCTAACATGTCATTGACACATTTTGAAGGGCGTTCTGTTGACTTTAGTGATGGACGATCCCATTCTGCCAAGTTCAGCTGCAAGGGGGGTGACTTAGAAACCCAAATATCAACCCTGGAATCTAGAAGCTTCCTGGAACCATGGTTTTAAATCAGCAGGGTGGATGTGGCCTGCATCTGTGCAAGGGATGGCATTTCACTGGCTTGCTCCACGGAAGTCTGTGGAACAGAACCGTAAACACCAGCTCTCTTTGTTGTGTGTTGGCTTTTAAAAGCCCCCAATGGTTTGGGGAGGATAAGGCCTTGCCCTGGGGCTCCCTGGTCCAATTTTTTGGGACCTGGCTAAAAATCCTGGATATTTGATAGTCTGGCTTATTTCTATGGTGTATTAGCACCCTATAAAAGTTACATGTCATTTATTTCAAGTTTAGGACCCTCTCAAACTTCAGGGGCAAACCAAACTTGAACCTCTTGTGGCTGAAATTCTGTTTACCTTTGGCCAAACCTTGCTTCCTGAATGTGAGGCAGGGAGGTGAGGTGAGAGGGGGCTCCTGAGGCCCCTTGGACATCAAATCGCTTTTGCCAAACAATGCTTTGATAGGTTAAAACATGAATGAATCTGAAACACATAGATTAACTTCCTGTCAGAATACTCTGTGGCCTACACACAAAAGTATATTGTGCTGGGCAAATGCATTTTGAGTGTTGCCTTCCACCAACTATGAGGCAGTATCTGAGATTTTTGCCAAACACAGGTTGAAATTGGGTCAAGCCTGTTACCTTCCACTTCTAATAAATATATTGAAAAGTTTCTATAAAGGTTATTGGACAATCCAATTGAATGAGGACCCTGGAGAAATTTGGACATTTCTTGTGTTTGAAACATTTACTTTCAACCAGTGACAAAGAAAGAATGGACTCTAAGATACGTGCCCAGTTCAAGGATGGCTATGATTCCTTTGTGTCTGTTGTCAGAATACAGGCTAGCAAGGAAGGCCTGGTGCTTGAATGAAGGAAAAATAACACACCACGTTCCACGTGCCTTTCAGATAGAGGAACTGATGAATGCACTGGAGAAGACCCGACAGGAACTGGATGCCACCAAGGCACGCCTGGCCTCCACGCAGCAGTCTCTGGCTGAAAAAGAAGCGCATTTAGCCAACCTCCGGATAGAAAGGAGAAAACAGCTGGAGGAGATCCTGGAGATGAAGTGAGTACCCATTTTTGTCTTCCTGGTTTCTCTTTTCTAACTTTCCTTTAGGGATGGGAAAGGAAGGCTAGAGAAGACAAAGAAAGAGCTTGAAGAAAGAATAATTTAGCCAACACTTAACTATTCATTTCCATGACTATGCTTCTTATGTTTTTTAATTATAGCTTCCATGTCCCAATTTGCACATTTTTCATATCTGTTATTCAAAAAAAAAAAAAATCCAGCATTAAATTTTGTGTGTCTGTGTTTTGTGGACGGTGCTGTTATTCTTAGATTTGTCTCAAAGGTCTGAACTGGCCAAGAGACAGAGGCCTCGTTAAGCACAATAGTAATTTGAGTGCTGCTCAGAGTTAAGTGGAAACTTTTCTGAGGAGGTATTTCCTAATTGTGACTATAACTTTGCTAATTATATTCTTTTCACATGTGTACAATGCGTTGCTTGTGTTGGCTTTCATAGCGTCTCAAGGTTGGCACCTCTTTGTTTAGAAAGCAAGGACTCTGATTTGCTGGTCTGATAAAAACAGACTTGGAAATCCCCCTGCCGCCTCCTCCCCCTCACCCCAGGGTAGGGTAGGTGAGGGGTAGGGGGAGACTGGAACCAATCTCTTTCTTTGATTTAATCAATAAAGTGTGGCCTCGTGCTGGGCAATGATCCTTCCTGTGGGCCTGTGACACACCCATCTCCACCTAGCTCTTATTTCATTCTTACAATGAAATATCACCATGGAAGAACATAGGAAAGAAAATTACTCAAAGATTTTAGAAACAATCACTTGGCTATGGATCTATTCCTAAAGAAGTAAGCAAGAAGCAGCATCTCTGTATGTAAGTTAAGATAATCACTAAGATAGAATTTAACTTCCTTCCACAATAAGGGAAACGTACATAATTATGGCATCTTAAGCCTGCAACATAGACTTTGAAATTGGTGGCTAGGTATGGAAGCATGACCTTATCCTGACCCCACAAGTCTTACACATGGTTAACATTAAACCCAGAAAGCTTAGATCATGGAAAATATGGAATGAAATATTTTGAAGGATTTAATAATGAGGACAAAACTTTTATTCCTTGTCAACTACCTCAGTTTCTTCAAGACCAAAGAATAAGTAGTTTTTTTATACATAAACTTGCATTTTTCCTAATAAAATAATACATAATAAAGGCAGATATTATTATCCTCGGTTTAGAAGTGAGGGAACTGAGATTCAGAGAGATTTCAAGTAATTTGCTTAAGGCCATTGGCCAGCATTAAAACTGAAATCTTCTACCTAAAGCTCCCTTTTCTACTGTCTTATTTTCATGGAGCTTATGTGAATTCCACCAAGCCTGGAACTTTCATCAGTTTGAGTCACCGTGGTTATCATACTGCCTAGAACAGTGCCCAGCATATGGTAAATGCTCAGTAATTGTTTATTGAATGAGTGAATAGATTGAATGTGAAGACTAGATTTTATGTAGCTAAGAAGAAAAGTATTTCAAACATCTGTGACATTACCAGCTTGATCAATAATTTATTAACAATAGCAGTACATTGATTCCATCAAGCTTTATTCTTTTCCATTCACCAGTCCCACTTCTGCCACCTTGTATGTTGTGATGTGTGATGTTCAGCCTAGTTTCTCTCATTGTTCTCCAGCTATTCCCAAGTTAACTCTATCTCTTGGAGTGATTTATTATGCCTTTGTAAGGAAACTTCCATTACTTCCTGTTTATAAAAAGGACATATACTTTCAGCGTTTTGGGAGAGCAAGTAATGGTGAAGCACACTGGTTTGGGAGTCAGATCTAGGTTGGAATCCTATTGCTTCCACTTGGCGGCTGTGTGATTTAGGGGAAATGACTTTAACATCGCTGGCCCTTCTGTTTCCTCCTATAACGACTTTCGTGGAGTTTTTGAGAGGAGAGGCACTCAGGGGGACTTGGCCCATGGAAAATGATATATGTGTGTAAATGACGCTGTATCAGCCAATGAAAATATGTCATTTGTTTAGTATACTTTGTGAAGAGTATCATTTATCTAAAATTTGGATTTATTTTTCTTAAACATATAAACCTTTTCTGTGTGTATGTTTTCCCACTTAATTTCATGATTTCAGATAGCACCTAACTAAGACCTCTTTTGGTGAATTGCCACATTATTGCTCAAGTGCTTAATCTTCTGCCACTGCAAAATAAATACAGAATTCTTCTGTTAATTCCTTTGGTAAAAGTAACAAAGCCCTGCTTCATTAAGCCCAATATGGACCTATTCACCATTTAACTGGCCCAGAAGCGCCATTTATGTGCTCCTTCCCAGGACTATGTGGACACAGGTACAGGGCAATTATATTGACCAACAACCCCAATTAGATTCAGGAGCCTCCTGTGCTGTTCAAGTCAACCAATTGGTTTGATCAATCTTGATTTTTAAGCCGAGTTGACATATGGTTACACAAATTTATACATGTGATGAAATTACATATGGTTACTGGACATTAACTGAGTCAACATAAGTTAGAAAAAAATAAGATGGGTATGTCCCTGTCAGTGTTTACTATCACTCTGTGCCAAGGATTATTGGTTTTCTTTTCTTTTTTTTTTTTTTTAAGATTTTATTTATTTGAGAGTGAGAGTGAGAGTGAGAGAGAGAGCTCGAACAGGGATGGGGCAGAAGGAAGCAGACTCTCCTGCTGAGCAGGGAGACTGATGTGGGGCTCGATCCCAGGACCCTGGGATCATGACCTGAGCTGAAGGCAGACGCTTAACTGACTGAGCGGCCCAGGCGCCCTATTGTTTTTCTTTCAATTTGGCAGGCATCATGTAAGCAACTTCAGGCAAAGTCTATCTATTTCCAAACCCTGTGGGAAGGGAGAGGCTATACAGTGTTAGAGGACGGAGAGGTGGGGCCATGAGTCAAGAGAAGGGAGGTGGGATATGTTAACCCACCCATAACATGAAGGAGATCACTCCCTGGTTACCTCAGTTTTCTCTTCAGTAACATGGAGGTGATAATAACTACCTTGCCTACTTTATAGAATTGTTGTACAGGCAGGATGTTTTTTTTTTAAAGTACTGAACTGAAATGAATATAAATCAGCATATGTGAAAGTGCTTTGAAACATAAAAGGGGCTTTTGAAATGGAAGGTGGTGTCTGTTAAATTCGTTGTAAAATCAAATGGCACAGAGTTTTAAAATTGGAAAGCAGCTGGGTCCAACCTCCCAGGGTGCATAAACCAGACTCCTATCCACATAATTACTAATAGGGAATTCACCAGGCCCTGGTGAACACCATTCCCATTGGAAGTCATGGGCACTTGCAGGTACCTCACTGGTACTTAAATGGAACAGAAATGGCTTTCCATGTAATCTTCCCACTTTTCTTGGTTTTTGTTCAGAGCACACAGAATTCACCTGATACACCCATACACAGCACAGACAGCATTTTAGATATTTCTTCTTGTAATAATAGCATTCATTTTAGAAAAGAAAAATTAAGAAATACGAAGAAGCAAAATTAAAAAGAAAATCACCTATGATCCTACCACACAGAGACGTACAATGATGGCATTTTGGTGCACATCTTTACAAATACTCTTTACTTTTTTTTTTCTTTTTTGCTCTATATTTTTTTAACACAATTCAATTGTACTCTCATATTTTGTAAATCCTGCTTCTTTTGCTTACTGAATGGTGAACACCCTTCCATGTTATAAACATACAATTGTATTATTTTTAATTACTTAACATACTGTCATGTAGGTTCACTTCTTTATTGGACATTTATCTTAGTTCTAATGTTTTGCCAATATAAAGAATGTTTTGATAAGCATTCTCCTGTTCTATTTTGTTAACTTATTTTTAAGTAATTATAGATTGGTATGCAGTTACAAGAAATCATTTTCCTCAATGGTAAAATCTTGCATAATTGTAAATTATAGCACAGTATCACACCAAGAAATTGATATTGGTACAATTTACCAACTTAATTCAGATTTCTCTGGGTTTACATGACTCGTGTGTGTGTATGTAGTTATATGTAATTTCATCACATGTATAAATTTGTGTAACCACTGTCCCGGTCAAGATATAGAACTGTTCCATCATTACAAAGATCCCTCGTGCTACCTTTTGATAGCTACCCCTACAACCCAGCTGTTTCATTTATCCCCAGAGTTTTGTTATGGGTTATATCATTTTGGGACATGTGCCATACTTGTCTACATTTTTCCCTCCCATTCTCCTGGAGCAGGGCAGGGAATTATCTTCTTAGTTTAAATTTAGACTGAATTTAGAATGAGAAAATATTGCTTGATTCCTCTAATTTAAAGATTTCTCATGAGTTGGTTTTATTTTATTTATAGTGAAATTTCTTTTTAATATTGGATATCTAGAACCTGTCATGTGGTAGGCATTTTATAAACTTTTGAGGAATGAAAAGATGAATTAGCTCAAAATTTCATATTCATTGAGTTCCTTCTATGTGACAGGTACTGTTCTAAGTGAACAAACAGAAAAATCCCACCTGATCAAGGTTGCACTTTTGTAAAATGAGTGGAGGAAATGACTGAACTAATAAGGAAGCAAGTAAATGAATAGATAGATGAGAAAAATAGTTTTTTCCTATAACCAAAGAAATTTGGAATCCCACTTAGAAAGCTATTCCAAAGGTAAGGACTCTTGTAGCTCTTTGTGGGGTAAAGAGGGACATGGAATATTCAGTGTAACTTCCTAGGACTGAGAACCCTTTTAGGAACCAAGGTCAGAGGAGAGCCTTTGACTGTATTTCATGTAGGATTCTTCCCCCCAACACCTCCCCATTTAGTTTGGTCTTTATTGGTTAATATTTTAATTTCCAGTCATTATTCTCACACTGGAAGGAACTAACAGTCCCCATCCCTACATTAAAAAAAAAAAAGATTTATTTATTTGAGAGAGAGAGAGAGAGTGTGTGAACCAGTGGGGGGAGAGGCAGAGGGAGAGAGAGAAAATCTCAAGCAGACTCCCCACTGAGCATGGAG